GCATTCTTTCAAATAATCGTGATGCATTTGAGTTGTAGAAACTTTTGCAACAAAAATATTATTCAAAGAAATTACCAAAGAAGTTGCAGTAGGAGCATTTTTTCATAGGTTACATAGGAGAAACCGGACGCCAACTCAACACACGAACAATAGAACACAGAAAGGAGTGTGAGAAAGAGGCAAGCCGAAAACACACAAGAGCAGCAAAAGAAGAAGCAGAAAGTACAATAAAGAAGTCAGCCGTAACAGATCATTGCATATGAGAAAACCATATAATGGACTGGGACAGCACACGGATCATAACCACTGAACAACAAAAATACAAAAGATGGATGCAATCGAGATAAGGAGACGTGGATGTGGGACCATGAACAGGGACGACGGAGTTTACACGCTGGACCACGCATGGGACTGCATCGTCGGAGAGGGGAGAGCAGGCAGCAGAGGGCGACAACGCCCTCTGCTGCCCACAGATAAACGGAGAAGGAAGTGACGCGCCACCATCAGCGTCAGCCTGAAGAAGCCGGCAGCTGTCGGCGAAACTGTAGCGTCAATAACAGGTAACAAAACCGTTTCTGTGTTTAAAAAAAGAACGACAACATGGAATGATAAATTAAAGTTTAGTTAAAAAAGGAATAATTTTAAATACCAATGAAAAAAACTAATTCTGAACAAACCTCATCCATTCATCGAGAATGTCCTGTTTTTAATGATTGGGATGTAATCCATCCATCAGACGGCCCTCTGACCGTCCCACCCCCTCTACGCGCCAATCAGACGTTCTTAGCTTGGAGCAGTTGAACAGGCAGCAAAGCCAGAACAGGCCTAGCTATGTTAGCGGGCATACTAAACCGCTATGTTTACGAAGTCTAGAATAGGGGAGGGTGTTTCCAGTCTGCATCTTAGATCTAGATCCCAGTAGCTTCTTTTTCTTAGACCATGAGTGGGGACAGAGTCTGGAGAACTCCTAACCAGCACGACTTTATGAGGCGTCTGACAGAACACTGGAGGCTTTGCAGCTGCTTGGTTTGGAGTTAGCTTCTGAATTATGGCAGAAACAATAGGTCAAAATCTAATATGTTTTTTTTATGGCATCCATTACTTTCAGCATTCCTTTATATTCTGGAGGTGTGGTTTAGGAGGTGGGGCTTGAAGAAAGGAGGCTGCACCCTGAATTATGTGTTTTTAAAATTTAGCTTGCTTTTACAGCCTTTTACAGGATCATCTCTATCTTTAACGTAAATTTTGCATGGTCGGCTCTAGTTGACAATTAGCCGCGAGGTGCCAGGTCTCTAGTAGTGGACTCAAAAATAAACAACCATCTTTAATAAAGCCATTATTTGAGTTTTTATTTTTATTTTCATAGCTGTAATGATTGTCAACATTAACAGCTTTGTAGAGTTTACGGTCTAATGCACAGACTGCAAGAACCAGGTTCTGTTCTGACCTGAAGACATTTGCTTCATCTCAAATTCCCTTTTCCTTCTCACGTCGCCCCAAACAAAACAAAACATAAAAAAAATCCCATCAACATATAAAAGAAATAAATCAAGCAACCGTTGAAAAATGGCTCCTTGGTTATTCTCACTGAGAGAAAAGCAGACACTTTTTTTTAATTTTACAATAAAACACCAGGATGGTTTCCCCAGAGGGGTTTTCCCCAAAGTGATTTGTTTCAGACTCAATACTTTCTCAGCACCTGCTCTGTCTGTTTGATTTCTGAGGCTTTTGCATTAAAAAATTATCTGTCCATTAAATGTTGAATTTACCTAACCAAGTTATGTCAACTGGCACTAAACCTATTTGATTTAAGGTACAATATGTAAGAATTTTACTGTGAAATTTTTACAAAACATTCTAATGTTTCAATCATGTTGGAAGGAAGGTTACGTCGAAACAGATTTCATTCTCAGTCAGCTGGAGGGTCGTCAGTTTTTCTCCTTTCAAAATGGCCAAAGAGGGATGTAGTCCTGGTTTACAATCTTTGAGTAAGTGGGTTTGCCAAATCTGTGCCGGCTAACGCTGCAGCACCAGGATTTGTTTTTCAACACCAGCTGGCAAAATGCAGCAGTGTACAGAACCAAGCCGCACCCCAGAAGTTATTTCTTGCACCCCTAAAGGTTGGTTTATGCTTGATGCGTCCGCGAGGTCCGCACGGCTCCGCGCGGAAAAGTTGCGTCATTTTAACAACCACGCCCCTCCACCGCGCCTCCGCACGGCCCAGAATTTCCGCAACGCGCACCTCGGAAAATTTCTAACCACGCGGATGGACGGACGCGGAAAAACATGGCGGACCGGCAAGAACTAGTATGGCAGAGGTTCGTAAATACAGACATTTGTATGATTCAGCTCTCAGAGATCACCGTGATCAACATGTTGTAAATAATTCTTGGAAATAGCTCGCACTGTCGGAAAAGACGAGGACGCTGTTAAAAATGCTGAAATGCCATGTTGTAAACAGTCATTTTTACTTCCACTATGGTGTAGTGTTGGGTGCATGCCGTAGAGCTCCATGCTGCCCCGTTCAGTTTGGGAGAATATTGGCTCACCGCAGAGACAAGCCGCACGAACCATAAACGCTGCGAGTTTTGAAGCGCGTTCCATCCGCGAGCCGCATCACCGCGCAGAAAGTGAATGCGTCAAGCATAAACCAAGCTTAAGAAGCCACGCATCTTTTTGTTTTACTTTAATATTGAGGTAAAGAAGACTAGAGGTTAACGCTGCTTGTCAAATAAAACCTTTGTCGCTGAGCCACAGCTGGCAACAGCCATCAAACTCACAGAAGGGTAGTGAGAAAGTGACAGGAAAATGGGCTGCAGTACCCAATTTTAACCACAGAATGTCATTCTTACACAATGCATTTTTAAAGCTTCAATGGCAAATTTGGAAAACAAATTAATCTAAAACATTGTTTTCATGCCTCTAAAGCCTGGGGCACACCAGAAGCGGGCACACCACGCAGCGCCAGTGGTTTAAGAAGTCAAGTAGTCCCATTGCACGCGCCGCGTCACTGGGCGCTTCTTGGAAAGTCACGCAATAGTCACAACATCACGCGGGACGTGATTCTATTGTTTATACGTGATCAGACTTGCCGTTGTGTTTTGTGAGACTCTAATTCATTAACAGTGGGTAAGTACGCTATTTATTAAAATATTTTAAGATCAATAGTACTTTAAAGTTATCAAAACTGCGGTTGGGTTTGTGCCGTACAGCCATTCTGCGTTGTAATGTCTGTTGTACTGCACAATGTTGTAAACAGCCACGGCGTCACTTGGGAAGCGATGCGGCGCTCCCCGTGTGCCCACTCTCATTAACTCATTCACTGCCATTAACGACTAAAGTCGTCACTTTAGATCCAACCGTTCACTGCCAATGGCGACTTAAGTTGTCATTTGCATTTGTTTACTGTGTGGGCGTCGGAACGAGCCCCCGTGCCGAGAGAACAAACATCTCAGCTCTGAAGCTGATCTTCATCTGCATACGTCACATGTCACATGATCAGGAAACAGAAAATCCATGTGTTAGGAGATCGTTTTGGCCGTTCCTGTAAAAAAAATTGAGGCACGAACCGGAAAAGCTTCTGCTGATCACAATTCGACAACGGATTATGAAAGAACGGATAACGCTTGAAACACGCGGATTCTTCCTGATGTAAGAGGTGAGTCTCCTCTTTGTTTTGGTTGTTTTGGCGTCGACATCATCCTAGCGCGCAACGTTCTTTGACTCTTAAAAAACAGTAAAAACGGCGAGAAACGCTGGCAGCGAAGGGCTTTAGCGATCAGGAAACAGCCGGCAGTGAGTGAGTTAACTATAACGGCTTCTATTGAAAATAACAGTGCGGGTGCGGTCGTGACACGGCGTGTCCACCACCGGTGTGCCCCCGGCTTTAACGTTCTAATAGTGTAGCTATAAATTGTGGAGATGAAAATGGAAGGATAAATTGAACAAAGTTCTTTTGCATTTGTCTAAAACCCTCAGCCAACAACACGTTTCAGACAAAAAGCAGCTATTGAATCGTCCGGTTGTCGGTCTCGCTGAACCATCGCAACTTGTTAGGTTTTCTGTTCATGATTGTGTATTTAGCCACTGAACGCCTCTGGTGTGAGAGGTTCTCCGCTGTCAGGGGAGGAGAAATTACCAGCTGCTACCACTTCAACTTTAGGACAAAAATTAAAACACCATTTGAAGTCACGGACAGTAAAGAACATTCGGGCCTTGAAAACGGCGACTGGTGTTTACTGCTCTCTTGTTTCCTCCTGGGTTTCTGGTTCCAGCAGAAGCATCTCTGGGAGGACATCTGAGGAGATGGGTGAGTGTTCTGTGACTGTATTAGTGTTCAATATCCAGCTTTTATGCAGATTCATTATAACAGCTTTAAATGTAAAGAGTAATATAATTTTTAAACAATATATATATATTAATTTTCTTAGTTTTTTTTAAACGTGCAGTTTAACAACTACAGAGAGTTGTATACATTTACTTATAACATATGACAAGGTATATTACTCTTTACATTTAACGCCTTGGTTCAGTGGAACCAGTTTGATTAAGTAAATTCAACTATTAATTTCTTACAGTGCAGCTGAGCCTCGAATTGAACTTCCAGCCCATTAAAGACAGTTTACAGGTGATTCTCTCAGGAAGTTTAATATAGTTTAGCAGGTATAAATTCTACTTTCTTTTTGTAAATAACCTCTACAAATATTGTTTGTTGATAAATATTAGATAAATACTAAAATTGACTCTAGTGCAGCACCTCACATGGAAAAAGAAAACAACTTATTGTCCAAATTTCCCATGAGCTGCACAAAAACAAATGATTTGTGTTTGAAAACAGATTTGTTGTGCGTTCATTCCGTTTACTTCAAAGCTGTTTTATCTTGCACTATCATCTGCGATGTGCCGAAGTGTGTTTTTCAGACTTCACAGCATCTGCACATAAACATTGAGTGTTACTATCTACAACAGGGGTGTCAAACATGCGGCCCGCGGGCCGGATCAAATCTATGAAGGTCAATCTGTTTCAAAAAGCACAAACCTGTAGATCTGTTGCGTGTATTTGTACTACATGATGGGTGCTTGAAAACAGTGTGTGTGTGTGCGTGCAGTACAGTGTGAGGAGCTGTACACCAACACCCGTAAACCTGTAAAGCTAAATATGCACCTGTAAGAAACACTCACATGCATTTGAAATAAAATACAGTTGTGTGTGACATTTTCAACTACAAGTCTGTAAACACAAGTGTACAGATCTGTTTCTGCACACGCTCAACTTTTTTATTACAGTTGCACAGCTTTCCTCTCACACATCTGATTTTTGAAACTATTTTCACGATTAATATGTGTCAAAATGCACAAGTTTGTAAATTTGTTGTCTGATTCCGTACAACACAATGTGGACTTGAAGATTGGATGTGAGTGTGTGTACCGTAAAAGGTGAGCTTGAAGTTTTGAGGTGAGTGTCTGTGCATTAAAATGTGCGAAGCTGCACATCAACATGTGTGAAATTGTGAAGATAAATGGTACTTGTAAGAAAAAGTAAATTGTATGTGAAACAAAATAAACTTACATGTAAAATTTTCTTCTGCGACCCAGTAAATACAACTTCTCAAATACGTTTCTGCGCATGCTCAGTTGTTGTTTTACAAGCGCACAACTCTCCTCTCGCGAGTCTGACTTTTGAAACACTTCTGGCAGGTTGTGTGTTGCAAATTGCAGCTGTGTGTATCTGCAGAGGCGAGCGGAGCAGGGGATGAGGGCGAGGGTGGGGGCGGAAGGAGGAGCCACAGAGGGAGGGTTGTCATTGGTCGGCTCTGGTTTCCAGGACAACAGGCTCAACCAATCAGAGTGAGAGCTGCGTTTTTTCCCTCGGCTTTCAGTCCGCTGCCGTCTGCAGTTCGCGATGGCTGAACGAGCTGGGGTAAGTACATTTCAAAGGACTTTCTAAACTTATTTTAGTCATTTCCTCGTCTTTTTATTTAAACAAGGTGACACACTAACATAACGTCATGCTATTTATACCATTATTAAGGCCTTATAAGATATTTGTACAAATATGTAGTCTAGCTAAAGTTTATATGAGCTGCTTTGCTAAGTTAGCAGAAACAAAAAACGCCACTGCTAACACTGAAGTCTTACATTAAGGCCACTGTGTTTGGGTATAATCCCAGGGGTGTTTCTCAATGTCAGGCTTTGAGGACACTGTCCTTCCTTGGTCAAAGAAAACAGTTAAATGGAGCTGACTTGCGTCACGTGACCAGGGCTCCCGTGATGGTCACATGACGTGCGGCAAAGTTATAATTATACTTATAAGTTGTATAATGAGCATTTTACTTTTTAAATTGCGTGTATATTGCTTGAATTACATGTATAAGGGAGTTACTAATTGCTGGCCACCGAAGCTGCAACGATTAGGCAGCACCAACTAACCAACTTCTGATTAAAAAAATAAACATTTTAGATATCAGCCTGATAGTTACAATTAGTTTTTTTAATCACCAGTAAAACAATAAAAAGTAATCATTTGAAACCTTTAACTCTTGTTTCCTTTCTCGGGGATCCTATTTTCAGGCACTGTTTAGACCAGCGGTACTCAGCTGACAGTCTGTGGGCCACGTCCAGCCCGCAGGTTCATTCTTTGTGGCCCTTGGTCCACCAGGACAGGGATGCACTGACATCTGGCCAGGTCAGATGTCTTATCTGTTGTATTCCGATGCCAGGAAAAGGCAGATTGCAATGCTGAGGTATTCATTTCTTAAAACTCAATAAATATGAGCATTTCCTAATTTCACTTTTTAATCATATGCTATTTTATTTTGTCACATTCAGATGGTTCTGGACCACATCACCTGGCCGGATGAAGAAGAGCTGGAGGATGACAGCGAATCTCCTCTTGCTGTGAAATGTTAGATCACAAGCTACTTGCGTAGATTTGTTGAGACAGGTATTTGGCTTTTTTCTGGTTACACTCAAACTACAGCTTTGTTTATAAAGTGCTTTTCAAACAAAAAAATGAAACTCAAGTAGCTTCAGAGGAAGAAAAAAAATGACCCACAGATTGAAAAGACCTGACATATCCCACAAAATTCATTGTCAATTGAAACCCCCTTCCCCGACCCAGTAACACGCATATACACACACACACATACCCACATGCACACACAACACATTAGAGAACATATGCAAACACTGGGCAGAGCTCAGATGAGTCAGGAAACGCCATCAGGCGAGCCGTCTGACCCAACTCCAGTAGATCCACAGCAGCAGCCAGGGCACCGAGACAGGTCTCACAGAGGAGGGAGGACAAGGGCCCCCACCTACACCCAAGCACTACCTGGAGAGCACCCAGGCCACTGCCGCTGACCACTGGCCCTGAGGCAGAGGGCTCCCACTGAGGAAACGCTGTAAAGTATTAGAATAAGTAAAAGAATGAAATAAAAAGAGGTAATGTATGAATAAGTAGTGACCAATATAATTGTAGAAATAGTAAAACAATATCAAATCATAAATATATAACAAAACTTTCTTAAAATATAAGAAATTTAATCATAAATAATAAGCAGTTAAAAGCTAAGCTAAAAAAGTTCATTCTTCGGCCTGCTCTTAACATTTCTCTCTGGTCCTGAGGTCCTCGGGCAGCCTGCTCCAGAGGCAAGGGCCATTATATTGTAAGGACGCCTGACCATTGTTGTTTGTCCTGACATTCGGGATCACAAGGCGATGGCTGCAAGAGGAGTGCAGAGGACGTGAGGGTTTGTATGGTAAAGTCAGTTCAGAAAGGCTAGAAGGGCGAGGACCATTATGACACTTTAAAACCATTACAAAAACCTGAAAATCATTGGAATAAACCTTAAAGTCATAATAGGTTTAAACAGTTGTCTTTCACAAAATGTGTACAATCAAACTATTTTAGAAGCCTTAACCCTCCCACTGTCTTCATGGGTGACCCCACCAGGAAAGACCTCACCCCTGCCACATGGACCTCAAGGGATAAACCATCAACCCTGCTCAGTGGTCAACTTTCCTGGTGGGGTCACCCATGTAGACAGTGGGAGGGTTAAAATGAGTAAAGTGTTTTATATGACACAGCAGATAAGGTGGGTTTGCTACATTCTAAGTATCTTGTGTAAACATGGCACAGAAGATCTTTTATATCTCATTTGTCTTTGCCATTTTTTCTTTTCTTTTTCAGTGTCTGAAGAGCAAAGGAAGCAGCTCGTGAAGTTTGGGGTTGGATGGGAGAAACCCATGAAGGATATGAAAGTGGAAATAATGCAGGCAGACCATCCAACCTCATCTAGCTGCTTCCATATTCTATGTCTGCCCTGCCACTACACAACATTTGATGTTTCGCAATCATCTTGAAAGTTGCATAGCAACCAATGTTCATGGTTTTGGATTGATCTAAAGTTTAACGTCATGCTATTTGCCAGTGCTGTTCAGGTTATACCAAACAAATCTTTTTTTTATTTAACCATCAAGTTACAGCTGAAAGTTTCAGGAATATTGAGTTACAAGTAAGGCACAGCTGTGTTATATGATAAATGTTTTATTGTAATTTTACAAGTAGAGAAATCATTTTCAAGATTGCATTTTATACATATGCAACAAACAAAACGTTGCTGCATCCAGGGTCATGACAATAGAACAATATTTTTGTAGCTTAATGCTAAATGTTTTTTCCTGTCACTTGCTTAAGTTCAAGATGTTATTAATAAAATAATTTTTTAAAAACTTAAAACATTTTATTGAATTCACAAATGATTGTAACCTATATTAACACGTTAGACTTGCAGGTTTTTAAATAAAAAAAAACATCAAATTGCAACAAAACTTTCATTATTCTCACAAATTTGGGAATTTCAATATCCAAGAGAATAAGAAAGGGCAGTTAGATTTTTAGTACACACAAGAAGATTACTATAATTTTAACTTAAGAAGGTTTAATTCTTTTAGTTTGCCATCGAAGAATATTAACATGCAAACATTTTCAAATGCTCACGAGTCATTTAATCTGTACTTTCAAGTTCAGATGTGGTAAGAGATAACGGAGATTAAAATAACGTGTTCAGTTAGATAATGGAGACTTATGAAGATCCTTCACAGACATTTTATACAAGTCATTGATGACAAGATGCAAAAAATGAAAGATTTTATTATAGCCAATGGTTTGCATGTAATGCCGTGTGGCTAAATAACTGTCAATCCCAAGATTGACCTCAGTGGATCCACAGCTGCACAGAGTCCAGAATATTCTCCTGGACTTAGCGGGCATTCAACTTCTGGAACTTGAACACTAGAGTTGTGTTCAATGTCGATGAGTCCACTGGATTCCCATTCAATCTGTGGAATGTAAAGCTCCTGCAATAAAATGATTTTGGGCTAAGCACAGAATACGTTCTTCTGACCACACAACGGAGATGGGACATTCAGGAAACCACGCCTGCAGTGTCTAATCTGCGCATAGAGGACCGAACACACTCCCACTGAAGTCTATATCCTTGTGACTTCAGCAGACCTTTCATCATGGTGACTTGAAAAGCGCTATATAAGTTCAATGCATTATTATTATTATCAATCTATACCCTGCATTTTGGTTTCTGGCATGGATCTGTGACACTAGAGAGTCTAGCTCATCGTGAGTCATGGTGCTGTAAGTTTGGCTCACACTTAAACCCCATTCTTTCACTTGCCTGTGTAATGTAACTCTAGATATCCCCAGCAGCTGTGCAATACACGTGACAGGTAAACCTAAAGAAATGAGGTGTTCTGTGTATTTCTCAGGAATAAGTAGTTTGGGACGACCAATGGCTCCTCTTTCGTGAGCAACAATAATTTGTGCTTTTTTATTTTGACTGCAGGTCTCTGATAAACTTGGGCAAGTGCATTTAAAATGTCCTGAGGGACGTCAAATGGTTTGAGATAGCACCCAGAATAACCAGCTCCTGACAACATACAAATTCCAAAAAATCGAGATCTAGAGGAACTCGATCAAGCCAATTAGAGGAACGGTTGTAAAGTCTTTCAAGCAGATAGTTGAGCAGCAGTTCCTGAAAAACAAAAATGAAGGGTTACTAAAAGAGCCATCAAATGCAGATTTTAAATATCACATGTAACAGTTATTATTAATAGGATCCCCGAGAAAGGAAACAAGAGTTAAAGGTTTCAAATGATTACTTTTTATTGTTTTACTGGTGATTAAAAAAACTAATTGTAACTATCAGGCTGATATCTAAAATGTTTATTTTTTTAATCAGAAGTTGGTTAGTTGGTGCTGCCTAATCGTTGCAGCTTCGGTGGCCAGCAATTAGTAACTCCCTTATACATGTAATTCAAGCAATATACACGCAATTTAAAAAGTAAAATGCTCATTATACAACTTATAAGTATAATTATAACTTTGCCGCACGTCATGTGACCATCACGGGAGCCCTGGTCACGTGACGCAAGTCAGCTCCATTTAACTGTTTTCTTTGACCAAGGAAGGACAGTGTCCTCAAAGCCTGACATTGAGAAACACCCCTGGGATTATACCCAAACACAGTGGCCTTAATGTAAGACTTCAGTGTTAGCAGTGGCGTTTTTTGTTTCTGCTAACTTAGCAAAGCAGCTCATATAAACTTTAGCTAGACTACATATTTGTACAAATATCTTATAAGGCCTTAATAATGGTATAAATAGCATGACGTTATGTTAGTGTGTCACCTTGTTTAAATAAAAAGACGAGGAAATGACTAAAATAAGTTTAGAAAGTCCTTTGAAATGTACTTACCCCAGCTCGTTCAGCCATCGCGAACTGCAGACGGCAGCGGACTGAAAGCCGAGGGAAAAAACGCAGCTCTCACTCTGATTGGTTGAGCCTGTTGTCCTGGAAACCAGAGCCGACCAATGACAACCCTCCCTCTGTGGCTCCTCCTTCCGCCCCCACCCTCGCCCTCATCCCCTGCTCCGCTCGCCTCTGCAGATACACACAGCTGCAATTTGCAACACACAACCTGCCAGAAGTGTTTCAAAAGTCAGACTCGCGAGAGGAGAGTTGTGCGCTTGTAAAACAACAACTGAGCATGCGCAGAAACGTATTTGAGAAGTTGTATTTACTGGGTCGCAGAAGAAAATTTTACATGTAAGTTTATTTTGTTTCACATACAATTTACTTTTTCTTACAAGTACCATTTATCTTCACAATTTCACACATGTTGATGTGCAGCTTCTCACATTTTAATGCACAGACACTCACCTCAAAACTTCAAGCTCACCTTTTACGGTACACACACTCACATCCAATCTTCAAGTCCACATTGTGTTGTACGGAATCAGACAACAAATTTACAAACTTGTGCATTTTGACACATATTAATCGTGAAAATAGTTTCAAAAATCAGATGTGTGAGAGGAAAGCTGTGCAACTGTAATAAAAAAGTTGAGCGTGTGCAGAAACAGATCTGTACACTTGTGTTTACAGACTTGTAGTTGAAAATGTCACACACAACTGTATTTTATTTCAAATGCATGTGAGTGTTTCTTACAGGTGCATATTTAGCTTTACAGGTTTACGGGTGTTGGTGTACAGCTCCTCACACTGTACTGCACGCACACACACACACTGTTTTCAAGCACCCATCATGTAGTACAAATACACGCAACAGATCTACAGGTTTGTGCTTTTTGAAACAGATTGACCTTCATAAAATCCAGCCCACGAGATGGTTGTGTAAACTTTATTTTCATACTGTACAATGTAGAGTGAAAATAAACTTATCTTTGTGAGCAAGTTTCCTCTGTAATGAGTATAAATAAAACAATGCTGCGCTCAAGACTCACACAAGAACTTGAATCACATCCTGAAGTTGGCGCCACTCAGGATGAGACTTCTGATATTGATGTGCTGGTGAAAGCTAAAAGATGTAAAGTAAAATGAGTCAATTATACTTTAAGTGCTGCATAGAACTGATCTAGCCATGCGATCTGTAAGCTCTTTGAATCACTAAGGAAGTTTTTATTTATTGATTGATTTTTTATTTTTTTCAAATTTTCAAGTACACTTCAGGTGTTGTACTTGTACTATTTTGGATACACTGTCCTCAGGCTCCAGCCTTGTTTTATATATATTGTATTAAAACAAAGAAAACAATCTGAAGTTGTTTTTAATTTACCGGTCCGGCCCACTTGGGACTAGATTTCTCACAATGTGGCCCCTGAGCTAAAATGTGTTTGACACCCCTGATCTACAACCTTCTTTGCACACTATTGCAAAAATCAGTGATTTTGTTGTGGAAAAACCAAAATTTCAAGTATTTTTACGAGTTTACATTCACACTGGTTTCCACCTGGCTAATTCCATCAGCAGCATTAGTACAGGAGGTTGTGCTGAACATCCAAGGTGCAACAGACCAATTGTGCTGTTCATAAATGAAATACGGGGTAGCAGTTAGGCTAGAGGTGCTAAATCATTAAAATGACCAATAACTCAGATCAGAAATCTTTAAATGTGCAAAGTGTGTGTGAGGATTCACTTTCACTTTGGAATGAAAACATACTTAAGGGCAAAAGCTGTGATGAACTTTACTTGCAAACAGAATGTTGTTGTTAGTTTCACTCTATAAATTGGATTTGTAGCAAACAAACAATGTAATTGTGAGATGTATGTGACAAAAACACACACATTTCCACACAACTGGCACAAATACAAAGGAACGGGTGGGGAAAACAACGGAAGACTCTTCAGAAAGATGAAGAGCCCACCTGGCTCTCATTTTAGTAACGGGTTCACTTTGAGCGCCAAGGAAGCGCTGAAGAAGAAGAAGACGAAGAGCAGGGTGGGGTTGGTGAGTAGGGAGCAGAGGAGGAGGAGGAGGGTGAGTAAATGAGGGAGTAACGGTCGTCTCCATGGTGAAGCAGTGGTCGCCATGGTTACCCAAAGAGCCCAGGTCAGCGGCTTCAGGAATGTGCATGCCGTTTGCTCACACACACACACACATACATGCATGCACACACCGGTCATTATTTGTGTTTGTATGTGTGTAAGTGTGTCGTGTGATGAAAGCTGTCGCATTGTCAGAGTCACCGAGGGGTGTGAATATCTACCCTTCAGCAGGGAAGAAAAGAGGTGTGTGTTTTCAGTGTGTCACAATGAGACGGTGTACTGTTTCATCCTTTTGCCTCCCGTCGAGCGTGCACGCTCACATCTGGTGTGTGTTGCTGTTTGTGTGTTTGGATCCCGAAGGCGTGTGTGCAGCTGGGTCAAACAGGTTCATAGCAGAGAGTGGGTGACGAGATAACTGCGACTGGAGCGATGCTGGATGGTTCTGAATATTTTTGTACCTCTTTTTTGTCTTCAAACCTCAAAAACGGAGGGAAAGTTAACTAAAGATGTGTTGCTCCGGTGCCATTTCGGTCTCTGAAAACATTCCAATTTTTTTTTGCATTTGGTGGTTGAGCACACACTCACAATGCTTCCACCTCTCGCCACGCTCACCCAAGCACAAAATCAGAAGTTCATGCAAGACGTTCACTCACAATATTCCCAGCGTCTTTCCACCACATTTAGACATTTCACATGGTTACCATTAACTGCAGACATGTCTCAGAAACGCACCGACCGCTCTAACACTCTCTAAAGTGGTTTGATTCGTCTGGCTGTGTCTTATTGATGCCCCTGCAGGAACCCTCATTGATCTGAATGCCCAACTCAAACAAAAGCTCTTAAGACATAAAAACGGCAAACTCTTTCAGTTTTACATCAGGGAAGCAGTAAAAATTGGTGTATAAAATATGTGACAGTTATAAAAATGTGTATATTCATAAAATGAAATAAAATAACAGAGTTTACAACAATGTATGCAATGGCAATATTCCTGGCTGCCAGTTGAATTTTAAGCACCAGCAAGTAACATCGCCAGAGTTGTTTAGAGAACCTAAGCCGGTAAACAGGAGTGACCCAGAAGTTATTTATTTTTCCCATGAGAAACCCGGCATCGTTTTGTTAGTCTAATGTCGGGAAAAGAAAGCTAGAAGCTAACATTGAGCTAACAATGCTAATGGTGAATTAGAAGCAAATAGACGATTCTAGAAACATCAAGCAATTCTTTAATTACTAACAACTTGATGTTACAGTGAAACGTATGTGTGAAGTTAATAATGGGTCAATCGTGGTGTTTTACTAATTTAATGAGTCATTCAGAACTATGACAGCAAACTAACAGCAAGACGGCAAACAACCACACGCTGTAGTAAGTGTAAGTGGGCTGCACGGTGACGCAGTGGTTAGCACTGTTGCCTCGCAGCACGAAGGTTGCAGGTTTGAAACTCGGCTGCGGCCTTTCTGCGTGGAGTTGCGTGTTCTCCCCATGCATGCGTGGGTTTCCTCCGGGTACTCCGGTTTCCCCCACGGAGCACAACATGCCCTATAGGTTATAAATTGTAAGTCGCTTTGGATAAAAGCGTCTGCCAAGTAAATAAACATAAACATAAATGTAGTAAGCGATCCGTACCTGGCAACAGCAATAAAACTCACAAAAAAGTTGAGAGAAAGTAACTTTTTGTTTAGAAAAATGGGCTGCAGTACCCATTTTGACCACAATGCTGGTTTTTACTTCATTCTTACATATTGCACCTTTAAATAAAGTGTGAACACAGCCTTGTTGATAGCTCCTTTTTACATTTGAATCCAATTAAACCAGGTGAGTTCAAGTACTTATTTGCTTAACTAGAATTTCTTTTGAACTGAAAAACAAATATGAATCAAATGTTTGAAATACAAACTCATAAAAACAATCTGCATTTCCTTCATTAGTGCTTTTTTTAAAAGCGAGTGTCTCCCGTATTTCCTCTCTGGAGGCTTAAACAGCGTGTGCAGGTTTTATTCCTAGAAATATCTGCAAACTACTAAAGAAATATGTCCTCCAGTGAAGACTCCTTTCCACCTGGACGTTTAACCTCTCTTTCCACTAATGAGCCGAGCCTTTACATGGGGACAGAGATTTGTCACCAACAGTGTGCCACTCAGATGTTATGAGACCGGATAATTACAGCAAACAAAGTGATGAATGCAGAGTGCTGCTGTTAAAATGCTGAATAAAGAGAAGCAGGGCGAGTTGTGATTAAGTTCTGCTATGAAGCTTTGGAGTCCCTGATGAAGACCTTCATGTCTGACCTCCCTCTGGATGGAGAGCTGAAACAGAAGGAGAATGCCCCCCTAATAAATGATCCTGCTATGCTCTGTCTGTACACTGGAAACTAAAAAGGTTTCATGACCCGAGGGCTTTACAGACCTATTGGAAAGGCACTGAGAAAGGTCATAAATTCACAGAGATCAGCAGAAGGGAGGGCTGCAGCTCCGCCAGTACCTGGGTAGTCTTAAGTAGGTCTGAGGTGTTTTGAAGGTCAAAACAAAATGCTCGGAACGGCTGGCTGAGACAGCTGGAGTCCCACTGGTTCTCAGACCGCTGCCCTTTCCCGCTCCTGCAGAAGATCCTGGCAGGTTTTCCACTTCGGTAACCAGTGCATTGTTAGCTCATTTTCAGCTCACACCAAAGCCTTCATGAGAACATAAATAACTCCCAAGCAGCACATCCAGAGGAGTTAAACAAATACAATTTTTATATTTTCAAAGGAAATGACCGTTTTTGCACTGACTTGAATGTGATGTCACTGTGATGAACACCAACTTGAGATGGTCCTAGTAGTGCCTCTGCAGCCAATCAAATTCAAGTGTGAATATTTGTAACTGAGTTACAAACACCCCTTTTGAACGCTAGACAAAGATGACGACAAGCAGAGACAGCATGGACACTCTCCATCATCCACGTTTTGACTCTTCTGTTGAAACAGGTGAATCTGCATGGAAATCAAGCTTCAACACAACGGACTCAGATCTAGTAATAAAAAATATATATTTTGCTGACTGAGTTTTGCTGTTTGACTAATGTCACTAACATCACTGTTTTTGGTCGAGATGCCAAAGTTTCAGCCGTGTGAATCCTCAGCCAGACTGAGTCAAAGTCAGCCTTACAGCTGTTTTTTGACTCTTGACTTAATTAAATAGTGGGGCCCGAGCTTGTTGTGAGGGTGGCACTGGCCCACCTGGGCCCCTCCTAAGACCGCCCCTGGAAAACAAGTCAGGAAGAGAAACATCCAAACTTGATGCCACGGCTGTCAACTGGTAAAAAGCTGGAATGTATCATTTGGATTGGGAGTGAGTCTCTGCCTCATGAAGAGGACTACCTTGTGTTGGGTAAGAGATGGAGCGATGGAAAGGATATTACTCTAGTCCAGGGAGAATCAGTCCTGGTTCTCGGGGACCACTTCCTGCATTTTCTCTATGTTCCTCTGCACCTAAACACCTGGTTTGAATGAATGGATCATAACTATCAGCCGTAGTATAATTTCAGCCGTATCTTGATGCTAAAATTGAACAACTTTTCTTATTAGTGATGCATTTAAAACCAAACCTGACAAACTTTTTTGAACTTGAACTTCTAATCTTAATTGTGACCCAGCTCTGACCCCTGTGGCTTTCTAAGTGACCTCTGCCCTCTTTGACATCATTTATCATCAAACTAAAACCCTCGTGCACTTTGTGAAAGGCCTTTGAAAGGAGGTGAATGGACCTCCTGCCTCACCTCTATTGTCACCGTGTTCAGGCTTGACCTGTGCTCTTGGTGGTGCCTCGGGCCCCATCTGTGAATACAGTAGTTCACACTGCATGACAGACACTCAAGGGCATTAAATACATCAACAGAGACATCAAGTCGTTCTAATAATGCCTCGGCTGGAGTGTAATGCCTCTTGAGGGTTCCTGCAATTATATTTCGTACAAAAAAAAACTCAAATTAGATCTCTCATGACGCTTTAACGGCACCTACTTGTGCTTAAGCCCTCTCACCATCTGGCTTTAGTGCCAGAGTATGTTGCGGGACCATACAACGTCTTTTAAAATGGACTAAAATTCAGAATTTCTTGTCAAATTTTAATATATAAATATTTTTTACTTTTATGCAATTGAGGCACCGACCACATGCTGCTTTTGTGCTTTAATGAAGAAAAAAACACATCTATGTACCGACTATATTCAGTCCATCAGTTCTGGAGTTTTAAAACTTGTTCCACTCATTGATGTTAAGTGCCTGACAAAGAGTGCAAAAATAGGCCTTTTGCATGTTTTGGGTGAAGTTTTTACAAAAAAGTGTCACCCAATTACTTTTAAATGAGTGTATTATTGATGCAGACCTAGGTAAGTGTTTCTACTTACTCGATATACCTCAGATTCTGTGTTTTGATATGTTTTCCTCTGTAGTGACCTGCTGTGTTTGGGGTAAACAACATTCCTTTCCATTCTCATCCCAGGGAGGAGGGCAGGAACTGTTCCCCACCGTCTGTCTGAGAGCAGAGAGCCGGCAGGCAGGCAAGCTGGATAACTGGCTCCCTTTTTTATTGGCTGGATAGCTTCTGGGCGGCTGGATGTTACACTTCGGTGGTACGGAAAAGCCTCTGGAGGGGGCCAAATAGTCACTGATGATCAAAATAAAAATAAAGAATTTTATATTAAATGTTAGGTTTGCTGCATGCACAAATAACACAAAAGCTGTCTTTAGGTGAAGACTGGTGTCCAACATTTAAGCTCCGTAAATCATGTTCCTTATAAAAGGGCAGACAGCGCTGCTTGATGCATTGAAAACAACATCATTTGTATCAACAATGCAGGAAGAAAAAACAAGATGACAATATTCCACAAGGACATTTTGCTCGTTTCATTTTTGTCACACACTACTCGTCCTTGGCTGCATTAATGTGAAGTCTGGTAAGCTGCACTTTTCAAACATTAGATGGAAAACGGGGAGGATTTCTACCATACCATACCATACCAACTTTATTTATAAAGCACATTTAAAAACGGCATGGCAGCCGACCAAAGTGCTGTACAGAATAAAAAGTAAAAACACAATATAAAACAATACACAGTCAACAATAAAATGCACAACAAGGCAGATAATCACAGTCAATAAAAAGACACATAATAAAATAATAAAAGTCAGGGATTTAAAAATGCCTGGTCGTAAAAATGAGCCTTAAGCAGCGACTTGAACCGGAGGAGGGATGGTGCCAGCCTCACTGAAAGAGGAGGAGCATTCCAGAGTGTTGGAGCAGCATAGACAAAAGCACGCTGCCCCCGCGTTTTGTATTTCATTGATGGAACCCGAAGCAGCAGGCAATCAGCAGAACTCAACGCCCGGTTCGGCACGTAACGAGTGACAAGATCCAACAGGTAATCCGGAGACAGACCGTTCAGGGCCTTAAAAACAAAAATCAGGATTTTAAACTTGACTCTGAAGTTTACGGGTAGCCAGTGAAGCCGCGCCAGTACAGGTGTGATATGGTCTCTTCTAGGGGTGTTTGTTAAAAACCTGGCTGCTGCGTTCTGTACGACCTGAAGCCTGTTAAGAGCAGAGGCAGGTAAGCCAATTAAAATGGAATTTGCATAATCCAGTCGGGAGGTGATAAAAGCATGAATTACAGATTCCAGGTGTGCTCATTTCAGGATTGGTTTTAAGCGGACTAGTCTGCGCAGCTGATAAAAACACGATCTGACCACTGCGTTAATCTGAGGGCCCATGGAAAAGTGTGTATCCAGTTTCACCCCCAGGTTGGTAACACACTGCTTGAGGTCATAAGGTAGAGTGGCCAAATCAGAAGATATGTGTGTGGTTTTGTTAGGGGTCATCAGGAGTGCCTCAGACTTAGAATCATTTAGCTTAAGGAAATTGTTGGCAAGCCAAACCCTCACTTCAGCCAAACATTGGTCCAGAAGAGAGAGGGAGCCTGGTTTGTTCAAAGCCAGGTAGATCTGGCAATCATCTGCATAAATATGATAGCCCAGGCCATATTTCCTCAGGATGAAACCCAGGCGGAGGATGTAAATTGAAAACAGGAGAGGTCCAAGCACAGATCCCTGCGGGACTCCCCATGGAAGTGGAAGGAATGTAGAGGAACAATTACCCAACTGAACCTTGAAAACTCTTTTTGACAGATATGAGCAGAACCACTGAAGTGAGGTACCCCTGAGCCCTACCCATGACTCAAGTCTATCCAGCAAAATATTGTGGTCAACGGAATCGAATGCTGCAGAAAGATCTAATAGTAAGAGCAAAACAGGCAACTCAGAGTCAGAAGCCACCAGGATGTCATTGGTCACGCGAAGAAGGGCTGATTCGGTACTGTGAAGTGGCCTAAACCCACACTGGAACACATCAACTGTGTAAAACGTGGGGGCAGAAGTAGAGATGAGCAGAATTTTAAAAAGATTGTGCAAAATTGTGCATTCTAATCAAAACAAACACACGTGACGTGGTTCCACTTATTTTGTTGGAAATGATAGCGCAGACCTGCTGTTGTTGTTGTTTATCTACAACATGACAAAATATAACCACTCAGTCACACAGATGAGACCATTTTGGACTCAGCCAGGGCTGGAGTTAGGTCCTTACCGGACCGAACAACGAAGAACCGAGCAGCGAGGAATTGGCTGCAGACATCGTATTTTCCTCCACAACATCTCAGTGGTGGTGTTGCAGCCAGCGGGCCAGCTGGCGCTGAGACGCAGGGCAGCTCACAGAGCTAAATGACTTCAGCGTAGCAGCACAAATACCAGTGTGAGGATGAACGAGCACCGCTCTGCATGCAGGCAGCAAAGCATTCATTAAATTAATTCTCTTTGGATTTTCTGTGATTGTCATGTTACCAAACTCCACACACACACAACCATTTAATATCTGCCCTTTTCCTCTTTACATCACAGTGTCAGAACTAAGTGAAGTCTTGATTGACGCTACACGCGCTCTGTGGGAGGAAACATATGGACGACGTTCGATGAGCGGCGGCGCATGGAGCTTGAGCGAGAACTCTCTCTAAGGACGTTGCTGCCGCAGATGGAGGTGTAACAGATGCGAGGATGACTTATGGAGACTCAAACAAAATTCCTCGGGCCACCTTTTGAGTGCTGCAAACCCAAAAAAAGATTGGCATGCCGTTTGCTGATAAGTGCTTTTTTGTCTGAACAACAGAGAAGAGCATTGTGGCCAAAACTACAAGCAGCAGCAGGGGAAGGTACATTGGCCAAACACACACTGTGGAGCTGCAGACTTCATGCTACTTGCTGGAAAAAGAGCTTAAGATTGTTTTTTTTGTCCCCCTCTAGAGGGAAACACTTCTGCTAATATTACCAGAAATAACGGATTCACTGGGGCTACCTCTAATGAAGCGTCCTTAAACCAAACTCTGTAATCTTAAGCTACAGAGACAGACGGTCCCTCGGCACCCTTCTTTGTATTTTCATGCAATCAGCATACATAAGTGCAAGAGCACTTCAACAAATTACATCGACTGCTGCTAGCGAACGGCATCCGCCAGAAAGTTTTTGGCGTGTGCAGTTTCGGTGTGCCGCTGCCACTGAGCCACTTCATCAAACACACAGATGGGGGATCGCTCACCTGCGTCTTCATACCATTGTCTTAAAATCTGCACGGCCTCTTGAAATTCGCACCGGCTTTCATCTAAACTGCTGTTTCCCTCCACCTCATCTCAGCCTTTGTCTTTCTCGTGTTTGTGCTGCGAATAAATTTGACTAAACTCGTCTCTGCTCGTGCAAAAGCACGGCTCGGATCCCGACGTTACCTTGGCAAAGGCCGTGCAGCAGGAGGTAAACAACGGTTCAGAGCCGTTACAAATTATCCAGGTTGATTTGTCTTTTCAGACAAAATGTCACTGATTGCTTCTCAGCGCGTAGCCACGAAATCTGGTTTGCTGGGCACAGCCTCGATAGATCTGACGCCGCTTTGCCTGTTGTTGCTTTTATGCTCATTTGAACAGTAACAAGCCAGCGCGAGTGTATTCAGAGAGAAGACATTGTTCCAGAGGAGCGCTTTCTCCCAGCTGCACGTGTCATCCAGCAGCAGCGTGTTTGCTCCCCATCAGCAGGAGAGAAGAACCAGTAGCAGCTGAACGGGGACAGAAACACACCAAAAAGACGATTAATGGAAAAGTTAGATCAGATCCCGAACCTGGAAGTGTCATGTTCTGTGTCCCCTTGGTCCCCAGCCCCCTCCTGTTCTTCCTCTGCGTTCTCCTCATGCGTCCCCTTGTGCTCTGTGTGTCCTTATACTTCCCCAGCCCACTCAAGTTCTCCTCATGTGTCTTCTTGTGTTCCCCAGCAACCTCTAGGCTTCCTCATGTTTCCTCCTAGTCACTCTGTTGTAGTTCCTATTTGTTTGCATTAGTCCTCCTCACCCCTCTAGTCATTAGTTGTTTATCTTTGCCCTTAGTTTCTAGGTTTACTTATTTACTGCATGGTGGCGCAGTGGTTAGCACTGTTGCCTCGCAGCATGAAGGTCGCAGGTTCGAAACTTGGCTGCGGCCTTTCTGCGTGGAGTTGCGTGTTCTGCCCATGCATGCGTGGGTTTCCTCCGGGTACTCCGGTTTCCGCCACAGTTCACAACATGCCCTATAGGTTATAAATTGTAAGTCGCTTTGGATAAAAGCGTCTGCTAAGTGAATAAACATAAACATAAACATTTAGGCCCTGTCCACACGTAGCCGGGGATCTGCCAAAACGTAGATATTTTTCTACGTTTTGGCCTGTCATCCAAACGAAAACAGATCTTTTTAAAAACTCCGGCCAAAGTGAAGATCTGCGTTTTCTCCGTTTTGGGTGTCTGCGTGTGGACAGACAAAACCGGAGTTTTAAGGTCCGCAACGTCACTTTCCGCGACAAAAAAATGCTGACATCACGTGTGCAACCTGTGTTTACACTAGCCGACAGCATGGATGCCCTCAGAGCTGCGCTCGCTTTATCAATTGTCCAAGCGCTTTCTGCTTGTTTGTTTTTGCAAGCGGAATTACTGCTCCTTACGGAAGACCACAGACGAAGGACGAGGTTAAGAACGGGGGAAGTACTGCCGCCTACAGGTCTGGCATGTCCTTAACAACGTATTTATCCGGGTACGTGTGGACAAAGTATTTTTTTTTAAATGAGGTGGTGTGGATGCAAGTTTTTGGAGGGGCGGATATTCGTTAAAAAAAACGGCTACGTGTGGACTAGGCCTTAGTGTTTTATAGGTTATGGTTTATCTTGCCCTCTGCTTGTTCCTTCCCCATTTAGTTTATTTATGGCACCTGTCTTCCCTCTAGACCTCACTCCTCACACCGGTTACCTGCTCCCCTGATTGCTTCCCTTTGTGTTTAAAACCCTGTCTTGTCCTCTCTCGCGTTTTGCCCGAGTCCGTGCTCATATGAGAGCTTCTGCTTTTGTTTTTTGACCGCTCAGTGCATTTGGGAATTAAGCCTGACTTTTGTTTTGCCTTGGGACTTTGGCGCATCCTCCTTTAAATAAAGGATTTATTTCTTTACATCGGCTCCTGGCTTGAGTGATCTGGTGTTCTGCGTTTTTGGGCCCTAACCTCCTGCTCAGCGTGACAGGAAGTTGTTTCACCAGGTTATCCCGTTTTAGTTCATTTCAGCAATCAGCGGCAGGATTTTATTCTTTTCCTGAGAAACTTTTATTAATACTCTTTGTAATTGGCTGCTTCTTGGTAAAAATCAATAACCAACCCATAAACAATCCCAGGAGTCATTTCTTTACTCTTGAATGACTTTCTGCAGTGACTCACGGGAGTTTTAAAACGCTTCTAGCTTTGCTGCACATGTGTTAGCTGCTTGTACCTAAACAAGAACAACATGAGGATGTTAGTTTTATTTGGGTACAAAGTTTTTTGTTACTAAAAAATGATGTTTTGTTCTGCTGTGGAAAAGTTACAGAAGTTGTTCCACCACAAGCGTGTGTGTGTGTGTGTGTGTGTGTGTGTGTGTGTGTGTGTGTGTGACAAACACAAGATATCAGAAAATATAAAAAAAAGTAAAAGCCTGCAAGGCGACATTCACATATTCGCACCCTGATGAGCTACTTTTTAGCCACAGCTGCCCTGGGGCGCACTGACAGAGGCGAAGCTGCCGTACACAGGCACCACCGGTCCCTCCGACCACCACCAGCAGGCAAGGTGGGTTAAGTGTCTTGCCCAAGGACACAATGACAGCAACAGAGTGAGTGGGGCTTGAACCTGCAACCTTCCGATTACAGAACGGGCACTTAACTCCTGTGCCACCGTCGCCCATAACGCCTGAACAACAGAAAGGATGAACATTTACGGTGCAGATGGAGCAGTATAAGTAACGATCATTCAAAGGCTGATGAATGCACAAAAGTTTTACATTTTGATTTAAAAGTTACATGAGTTGGGGCAGATTTGAGGTCATAAGGACGCTGATTCCATCTGTGTGCAGCATAGTAGCTAAACGCAGCTTCACCCTGATTGGTTCTGACCCAAGGTTCTACCAGCTGACTACTTCCCAAGGATCTCAGAGCCCTGCTGGGCATACGTACAGGAAGAAGATCCAACATGTACTCTGGCCCCATGCCACCGAGTGATTTATAAACTAGTAGAAGCACTGACATTGATTTTGTAGTTTACTGGTAACCAGTGCAGAGATTTAAGAACAGGAGTGATGTGTTTGGTTCTGTTGGTTCTTGATAAGACTCTAGCAGCAGCATTCTGAACAATCTGCAGTTGCTCCACAGTTTTTATTTTTTGGTAAGACCTGTCAAAAGTCCATTGCAATAGTCCTGCTGGACAACCTCCTACCAAAGTGAGAGCTAAAATGCATTTCTTGATATTTCTGTCACCAGTTTACTCTCCCCCCCCCCCCCCCCCCCCCATCCATCCATCACCCCATGTCGTTCCATCTCGAGGACAGCGTTGTGTGGTGATGCAGCCCTCTGGTCCTAAAGAGCTGAAACTGTCAGCCGGGGGAGCGGTGAAATGGAAAAATTTAATCGCATTAAGAGAAAAACCTCTTTTCATTTGTAAATTCCTGGGACACACTTTTCATCCAGCCTCCTTTTCTTCCTCTCTCATACTTACCTCTCTCTCTCTCTCTCTCTCTCTCTCTCTCTCTGTCCTTACCCCGACACGGCTGCTGAGCTCAGAAAACATTTGCCAAGAACTCAACGCGCACATGCGCACACACACACCAACACTCACACACCTCACAGTCTCCCTTTCTATTCTTCAGCCATGGATTTGACATACCAGGATGGAGGCCTATTGGATCAGTGGGTGCACACACAAACACAAACACACTTTGTAATTCCTTTCCATTTCTCCCTCAAATGAGTCAGAGATCAAAGTCCATTTCAACGACTCCGACTACCCCCTCCCTTCTTCCCACTTTCCTCCCCACCTTCTCTTGGTTTTTTTTTATCACTCCTCCTGAAGAGACGTGTTCCGGTTGCATGTCCTGTCCATGTTGTCCACATTCATTGTGAATTCAGCTCCACGGCAACCCCTATCTCTGTGACAGAACACACACACACACACACACACACACACACACACACACACACACACTCACACACACACACGCACACACACTCCATTCCAGGGCCATTCCTCTATGCTCTCACAGATTATTGACCTCCTTCTCCTAAACACACACTTGAAGCACACACTCTGCTTCCATGGGGACGAGCCACCTGAGGAGCTCCGAGGATTAACAAACCAGTTCAAACACAGTTGAGAGCTTTTTTCTTCTCTCCAACTCCTTTAAAGAACGCCTCTCTCTCTCTCTCTCTCTCTCTCTCTCTCTCTCTCTCTCTCTCTCTCTCTCTCTCTCTCTCTCTCTCTCTCTCTCTCTCTCTCTCTCTCTCTCTCTCTCTCTCTCTCTCTCTCTCTCTCTCTCTCTCTCTCTCTCTCTCTCTCTCTCTCTCTCTCACACACACACACACACACACACACACACACTGTGTGAGTTAGTTCCTAATGAGGCATGACAAAAGTGAGATTTTCTGTTACAGAATGCTCCTGCAGCAGAAATTCATCAGGGATTTAAAGTAAATTTGCTTTCCAGCGATCACCTGCAATCAGAAGTGCTTTTTCCTTTTTGAAAGGAAAGACCCCCCCCCCCCCCCCCCCCCCCCCCCGAACAAACCTTGAATTAATTAAGTCTTTATTTGAAAGGAGGCGCGGGTACGTTTAAAGCGTAATAACTGCAGCTCTCTTAAATAAACATGCTGCTGTATAACTGCAGTCGGTGGAATTATTTTTTCTTTCTTACAACTTTGAGATAAAAATAAAAAACTGGAGTCTCCTCTACAGTTTCTCTATTTCTCATCCTTTCCCATTTTTCATCAGCTGTAAATGTGATGGTTGCTGTCCCCGCTGAACCTGATGGCATCTATTGTGTGCAAAAAAATACGTGTTAGCCTCACATTCCTGCTGGGTACTGTCACTCCAGGAAGTACAATAGACGTGCTTTCACACTGCAAATCTTTTAGTTTAGAGCTGCGATGTCAGCCAAACTGTAATACTGCTCATTCCGCTCTGTGTGTGTGTGTGTGTGTGTGTGTGTGTGTGTGTGTGTGTGCTCCCTCATTTGCTCACTCTCATTCTACCTCTGGCCTTTAGGGGGAGCTCTAGTGCAAAGATGTTCCTCCTTGTTTTCAGCCACCAGTCAGAGCGATTAATTTATGGCTCAAAATGAGAAGTACTTCCAAATACGGATCATTTCTGAAACGTTTTACGATTTCAAGCCTAGACTTTTATGAAAATCAGCAACTATTTAAGGTTATCCTGGTATAACTTTACACCCGGTACCAATAATCTGTGGGCAATGTTGGCCAGTGTTTTACAGGTGGTCATTTCAGAGCCATGGAGGTCACATTTAAACTGTAAAATCCCTTTAAGATAAACACAGGCATCAGATGAGACCACATTTTGAAGAACTTGACTTGATTTGGTTACCAAGCGTGTTTGCCGACTGAAGTGAGTGAATTCTGTGATGAAATTAAAATGAGTTTGAGAAATGTCTTATCTTGTTGATCCACATGCAGCCTTGACTCAGCAGCACGTCTGTGTTTTATAGTCAGGCTCCTAATGACATCAACCCTTCATCAATACCACGCAGCGTGTTTCAAACCGGAGCTGGAAAATGATGGAGAAATCAGCGAGTGTCTGGCTTCTCAGGGTGGTGAAAATGTCACAAAAACATCTTACTTTTAATAGAGTGTAGAGTAGATAAATGAGTTGGGGAAAAAAATCTGTCAATCCTAAAGAATATATACCGGTAGTTATTCTGTAAAATGTGGAGCGAGGCGACTGTCCACAGCATCCTTGGGATCTTCTCAGCACAGCTTTATTACCCCGTCTTTCCTCTTATCTGCTCCCAGTGAGGCCCATTTCTGTCCAAACACGGCAGTTTTTGAAATCACTATCTTCATCTCAATCCCCTTGCTGATCCGTTGCCACAGCAACCTGGCATCAGACCAGATGATCTGACAGTATTGTCTATATATAATCTGACAGATGAATTGTTGTGTGTGTGTGTGTTTATGTCCATGTGTGTGCGCACACGTGCACGTGTGTGTGTGTGTGTGTGTGTGTGTGTGTGGTGTGTGTCCACAGTGGTCAATGGGAATTTCTGGTTACGTTTTTTATAGTAACTGCTCTACTATTAGACAAAAGAAAGAAAAGAAGAGCAGAGACCAGTATGGCAGGTAAATAAATAAACAAAAACAGGAGCAGCAACATGACTGATAGAAAACGTCACACCACGTTTTAACAGGAGTCAGACGTGAAAAGGTCAACATGCTTTTGTGAGACAAACATGCGGCTCACATTCTGAGCGCTGCAATGGAAACCAAAATCCAGTTAGGAGACATTAGCAGGTTGGTTGTTCTACTTTTATCTTCTGAATAAGAAACATTTAAGAGTTTACACCTTTGAATGTGTTTTTTTTTATTTGAAATTTGTCAGATTTGCAATCATTCTTTGAATTGTTTGTTTTTTAAGTGTTGTTTAGTTTTTCTAGAGATGCACTGATAATGAAACTCTGGGCTGATATCGATAGCCGACACCAGATATTATTATTGCTGTTACGGCTGATAATCAGTATTTAGTGATATAGTATTTATTTATTAACATATTTCAGGAGGATAAAGCCACTTGAGATGAATCATCTCATTTTCCAGAATATGAAAATTATTTACCACACAACAAACAGCAACTTGATGGAAATAAATATCGGTTGTTAATATTGGCCCAGTTATACTAATTATAGAGCTCCGGACGTCACGTGACTCTCAGAGAGTAGACGCCATGTTGGCAGGCAACAAAGAAAATGAACGGGATCGGCTTGGATTTTACTTCGTCGGAGTTTACTTCACACTTTAAAACCGAAGAAATCGTTTTATGTAGTCAGTAATTAAATAGACTAAACATCTCCAACCCTTACTGTGCCTCTGGGATACTTTTTAAAAACACCAGAAGCTGTTGGAGCAGACCTGGCCAGGGAACGCCTTGGGATTCCCACGGAGGAGCTGGCCCAAGTGGCTGGGGAGAGGGAAGTCTGGGCCTCTCGACTTAGGCTTCTGCCCCGCAACCCGACTCCGGATAAGCGGATGAAAATGGATGGATGGATGGATGGATGGACAAATAACAGATTTACATGTAAGTAGTTTAAATAGAGTGCTGTGCTGTTTGAATGTATAAACTGAACGCCAAGAGAAATCACTAGACTGATTTATTTCCGTGAATACAATAAAAATGTCAGGCAGGAGCATCTCAGGATCTGTCTGAGATCTGGCTCGGTGAGACAGATAATAGCAATCCAAAGTGCTTTTTATGTGTGATCTGACAAGTGATCAACCATTGCTTAAAAATTAAATACAGCTTAGCCGGTTAATTGCTGTGATCATAAAACACGGAAACGGCAGCACGCAGAACTCACGAGGCACCGTTTTACGTGATGTTTACTTGTTGTTATGAGTAATAAGACAGAAAAAGCCACGCCAAAATAAGTTTAGGAAGCCCACTAAGAATCGTAATAAAAGCATTTAAAATAAATACCACACACAGTTGAGGAAACGTTGGTTTAAGTACCTGATGTGAAGTGGTCGCTGCATAAGTGAAAACCTTTACTCTCGGGATCCCACAGCTTCATTTAAGCCCGGTCACTAGTGTGTTTTATTACAATGATCCAACGTTTGCGGCGCTCCGGATCTTGGGGAATCCTGTAGATGGTTCATTCCTTATGTCGTCCGCATCTGTTCTGCATCCTGGGGCACAACAGGAATCTACCATATTTCCCGTCTGATTGAGTTTTCTGACAATAACAAATAGTCCAGCTGCGGGCTTCTGCCTGCCAACATGGCGCCGTTTCGATTTGAACCGTTGCATGCCGGGAGAAGTGACGTCAACTCCCGGAGCTCTATAGATACTGATGTTAAAAAAAATAACATCGGCCAACACCGATATCGATGTTGATATGCCTCCTAACTCATTCACTGTTTTGAGAAGTTTTATCTGGCCCCACAAAATGGCCAGTATTTGAGGGTTCTACAACCCCCCAAGGCGCTTTACAACACAATCAGTCATTCACTTACACACACAGAAATTCACACACTAGTCCCTTTGACCACCAGGCACATCAAAGCATCCAACACAGATAGGGTAAATAATCATTGTGTTATGGAACAGAATCAAATAGGAAACACTGAAAAAGAGAGTTACGATTATCAGATAATTATTGGTGTGTTTTTATTATTATTGGTAATTTATGTTGCAGCACCAAGTCAAAGTCATAGAATACCTAAGAATCAACAAAATACGGTTGCATTTTCGGTTCCCT